CAGCAGCAACAAAGCCATGAGCAGAGCCAGCATCTCCTGGGCTGGAGGTGCCTTAGCTTTATGGAAGCTGTGGCAGATTGAGGTGGTGGTCATCGAACCCAATTTCTAGGAGCTCCTCGTTGCCAGTTATATATACAGATAGTTGGAGAAGAGGTGCTTTATAAATGCTGTCTCACTTTAATCCTCACAAGGCCACAAAGTGGCATGGAAAGAATTATGTTTCAGCTGAGGAAAATGAGAAACGGAGAGGATAAGGTGTTCACCCCGGACCACACAGCTGCAGCTTGGCTAGTCCAGGACTCTGGCCTCGTCTTTGACTCCAGAACCTCTCATCAGAAGTCTGGGAACTTGTCAGATGCTTACTGAGTACCCCCTGTGTTCAAAAGGTAGTGCTAAGTTGTGGAACATTTCCCAGGATAGACCATGTGGTAGGCCACATATTAAGTCTCAACAGATTTAAACAGGTAATGTACAAAGCATCTTCTCCAAACACAATAGGATGAAGTTAGGCAGCAACATTAAATTCTCACAGGAGTGCAAACCCTATCGTGAACTGTGCAGGTGAAGGATCTAGGTCATGCACTCCTTATGGGAATCTGAGTATAACATCTGATGATCTGGGGTGGAACAGCTTCATCCTGAAACCATCATATATCCCTGTTCCATCCGTGAAAAATTGCCCTCTATGAAACTGGTCCCTAGTGCCAAAAAGGTTGGAACCACTGCGTTAAACTACTGGATTTATGGAGTGAGGCAAAGTACTGTTTTGTCTTAGTCTGCAGAAGAGAGGTGAACTGCCAATTAGGAAGCAGTTAGAACCATGTATCTGACTTTATGGAGGTAGAATACGCTCAGTGAGAATGTTTGTTCTCAGGAGGGGTGTGTGCATGTATGTTTCAGTAATTAATATGGGTCAATAAAGCTGTACCTATACAATGAGGTTTCCAAAGGGGAACTGGACGAGAGGACCCAGGTCCCCTGCATTGTACGACGGGATTCAGGCATCCACGGGAATCACTGACTGCACTGCTGAGGGCCTGCTGTGCTGGAGGCATCACTGCAGATGGATGGATTCCTTCGTGAGGAGCCCTACTACTGGGGAAGGTGAACAGGTCTGGGCACAGGATCAGTGCAGTCCAGGAGTCACTGAAGGTGCTGGCATGTGGGCACTACGTGCAGAGCTCAGCCCCAACTCCTTTTCATGCATTACCCCATTTCATCCCCAAAGCCTCTCTCTAAGGTTCACATTCATTTGCCTCGTTTTATGGGTGAGGAAAGGAAGCTTGGGGAAATGAAGGAACTTATCAAAGATCACACAAGAAGTAAATGACAGGGCCAAGATTCAAACGTGGGCTATTCCTACTATGTATAGCCCATTATGTTCTTGGGGACCATCAATGTGTGGCTTGTGCCAGCATTTCCTTCCTTTTTAGAGCTGAATTGTACGTCTAGCCCACATTGATCCATTCATCCGTTGATGGACACGCATCCGTCGCTTTCACCTGTTGGCTTTTGTGAACGACGCTGCTGCAGACATGGGTGCACACGCGTCTCTCTGAGTTCCTGCTTTCAGTTATTTGGGGTATGTACCCAGAAGTGGAATTGCTGGATCATATAGTAATTCTATGTTGAGGTTTTTGAGGACCAGCCACGCTGTTTTCACAGGGCTCCAGTTTACCCACCTTCTAACCAACAGTTGTTATTTTCTGGGTGTTTTTTAAAATCATAGCCATCCTAATGAGTGTGTGGTGGCAGACTTAAATCTTGAAAAGATCCCTCAGTCTATGGGACAGAGAACAAAGGGCCTCCAGGAAGGGTCTGTGACTTTGAATACTCTGAGAAGGAACATTCCCAAGGGCTGCTTCTCGTCTCCGGAAGACCAGAGCTAACCCCTGGGAATAGATTGTGGTGACTGAAGGCTGCTGAAGTTAGAATGCTCAGTGGCCTGGCACTGTGCCTCAAAGCACCTCCCTACTGTGTCTATTAGTCTAAAAACACACTGGCCTTTGGGTATGACTGG